AAACAACAACAAAAAGTGATACCACCTCAGAAACCCAAGGAGGGTTCGCTATGAGTTGGAGCTGACTCCACAGCAGTGGCTGTGTTTTGTTTTTGCATATACTCAAGTCATACTTTGGCTCTCATGGACTTGTTTTAATTTTCTTCAGCTTCACTTTGAACCTGCTTATGAGCAATTGATAGTCTATTCCACAACTAGCCTCCGCCTTTATTCTGACTAATATTCAGATTCTCCATTATTGCTTTTCACAGATGTAGTCAATTTGCTTCATGTGCATTCCATCCAGCAAGGTTCACATGTATAGCTGCCATTAAGCTGTTGAGAACAGAGGTTTGCAATGAACAAGTCATTGGTCTTGCAAAATTCAATCATGTGATCTATATCTGGCACCATTTCTATCACCAAGGCCATACTTTCCAACTACAGATCTTTCTTCTTTGTTTCTAACTTCCATATTCCAATCACCAGCAGTTATCACTACATCTTGATTGCATGTCTGATATTTCAGATTGCAAAGGCTGGTAAAAATCTTCATTTTCTTCATATTTGGCATTAGTGATAGGTATGTAAATTTGAATAACATCCATATTAACTGGTCATCTTTGTTGGCGAATGGACATGATCCTACCACTTATAGTGTTACATTTCAGGATAGATCTTGCAATGTTCTTGTTGACAATAAATGAAATCTCATTCCTCTTCAATCTCATTCTCTGCATAGCAGCATATGATTTTCTGATTCAAAATGTCTAAGAACAGTTCATTTCAGCTCAGTAATGCCTAAGATATCGATCTTCAAGCATTCAATTTCATTTTGACAATTTCCAATTTTCCTAGATTCATTCTTCACACATCCCACATTTGGACTATTAATAGGTATTTGCCACTGTTTCTTGTGAGTCAGGAAAAGCTTTACTCTAATCACATCATGAAGATCAATTCTACTCTATGGAGGCAGATCTTCCCCGCAGTTGTATTTTGAGTGCCTCCCAGCCTAAGTAGTTCCTCTTTCGTCACTGTATCAGACAATGTTCTGTTGCTATCCATAAGGTTTTCACTGGCCAATTTTACCAGTAGACCACCACGTCCTTCTTCCTAGTCTGTTTTAGTCTGGAAGCTCCACTGAAGCCTATCCACCACGGGTGACCCTGCTGGCATCTGAAATAGGCACACCCTTCAGCAACAAAATACAAAAGCCACCACAGTATGACAAAGTGACAGACAAGTTCCAGATCAATACTTGAATATAATTTTATTTTCACTATTAACTGCTCCATGATACTGAGTATTTGTAGACCTGCCTCCTCTTCCAACCTGGAGATCCTTGATAGCAAACAATCTCCTGAGATTAGTATTATTAGTATTATTTATGCCTAATAAATAATAATAGTGTATACCTATTAAGAGTTTAACAAGTACAATTAGTGCTTACTACCTTGGGCAGGCATTATTCAAAGTGTCCTATCATACTGATTTATTTTATCCTCACTGGGAGCTCTGGGGGCATAGTGTCTAAGGCATCTGACTGCTGACCAGAATGCTGGTGGTTCAAACCCACCAGCCACTCCTTGGAAGGAAGACTGGGCAATCTACTTCCGTAGAGATACCACCTAGGAAACCCAAGGAGGGGGTGCTATGAGTCAGAACCAACTCAGTGGCAGTGAGTTTCGGTTTTTTTTTTTTGGTTTCACAGAACACTATTAAGTTGATATCATCATTAAGTCCATTGGATTATTAGTCACCATTGAGCCCATTTCAACTCATGGTGACCTAATATGTGCAGAAGGACTACTCCATAGGATTTTGAAGGCTGTGACCTTTCAGAAGCAGACTGCTAGGCCTACTTTCACAGTGCCTCAGGGTGGGTCTGAACAGCCAATGTTTTTGTTTGTAGCCCAGTGATTAACCATTTGCACCACCCGGGGACCAAGGCTATTTTACAGGCAAAGAAATGTGCACAGAAGTTAGTATTTACTCTTCATATTTAATGTATAAAACAATCAGAACAAAACACTTGTACATATGCTCAACTTCCATTCTTGAACAAGACATTCTGTAGTTCCATTCTAACCTATCAGGATTTTACAATGTCACATGAAACATTTCTAACTGCAAATCACCTCTTCTGTGCTTTCCCCAACATAGATAGATTCTTTCTACAGGTTTCTCTTTCATCAATATTTGTTAAGAAACCACTCCCCTGGTGCATGGGTCAGAATCTCAGGCCTGTCCATTCTTTATTTATCCAACCTTTACTAAAGTGACAAGAGAAAAGCTAAAAGCAGTTAACACTAATTTTATTTTTAACCAATTCATTTTGGGACACAAACCACTAGCAGAGTCAGACTGCCCACGTAGAAATCCTGGCTACAGCGTTCAAGCTGTGTTACCTGAGGAGAAAGTTACTTAAATTTTATGGAGCTTTGGTCTTCCTCACATGTAAGAGTATCCTCCTTGCCTCAAAGAGTTGTCTTTAAGATTAAAAGGCTTGGTGCCTAAGGCATTTGACTGCTAACCAGGTTGGTGGTTCAAACCCACCTGCCACACAGCGAAAACTGGGCAATCTACTTCGGAAAAGATTTACCGCCTCGGAAACCCAAAGGGGGTCGCTATGTGTCCGAATCGACTGGATGGCTGTGAGTTTGATTTTTGGTTTTTAAAATCATTTACAATGTTGTTGTTGTTGTTGTTTGCCGTCGAGTCGGCCCCGACTCATAGCGACCCCTCCTTGGGTTTTCGAGGCAGTATCACTACGGAAGTAGGATTGCCCAACCTTCCTTCCGAGTAGTGGCTGGTGGGTTTGAACCGCCAGCCTTCTGCTGAGCAGTCAAGTGCCTTAGCCACTATGCTACCAGAGCTCCCAAGATCATTTACAATAGTATATAGCAAATAATATGCTTCAGCAAGTGTTATTATTAACATCATACATCATGCTCTTCTGAAGTTCAGTGGCCCCCCAGTGACATTATAAAATCTACATACTTTAGCTTGACACTTAAAGACTTTCAGTCTGATCCCATCCTATCTCCAGAGGTTTCTTAAACTCTCTCAACTCCTACCAAAATGACGTGCAATGTAACCCCTAGTTCATCAAAAGCTCCTTTGCCTTCCTTTCAAAATTTCAGTATCTTTATTGGCCCTTCCGGATGCAACTTTAATCCCACCTCCTGTAGTTTTCCCCCAAGCACTGAAGTTGTGGGTAATGGTCCCCTCCCCCAAAATGGCCGCAGCACTGCTATTCACTCCACTTTGAAATATACATGATGTTTCCGCGGCTCCCGTGGGATCGTTAAAGTTTTTTTTTTTATTGAGGGGGGGTCACCTTGTATAATACAGGTTCGCAATACCTACGATATGTACGCCATGTGTTACTGCTACAAAAAAGTTACTCGCTAACAGAAAAATGTGGCCTGAAAGGGAATATAGCAAGCATTCTCAAGCTGGGCAGTTGCCGTTTTGTTTATACCGGAGGGGCGGGGGCACGTCCCGAAAATTTCCTTTGGAGGTACGAGGTGGGGCTGGGGGAAGGTCTGCCTAGGCGCGCGCGCTAGCTAGGCCACTTCTTTCCGCGAGGTAAGAAAGGGAAAAGAGGCGCAGCCCGGGGCGCGCAAAGGCGGAATGCGCCGGCGCCCGGCACCGCGACGCCTAGAGTGCCCCGCCCCGCTCTCTCACCTTCTCCTCCTCTTCTTCCTCCTCCTCCTCCTCCCCGGCAGAGCTGTAGGCCTCACAGTGACGACGCGGGGTCATCCGCGGGCCCGTTACCACTTCATTTTCCTTTGCGCGCGGCGGTGGAGCGCGCGGGACAAGGACGAGGCCGACAGAGGAGGGAGAAGAGGGGGAACTGGGCCAGGGGACACGGGCACAAGCGCTTAAGCGGGAAGCACAATTGCGGCTGGTGGGTCGGGTCCTCAGCGAATTAGTTCCATGATGACCCCAAACCTGTGGCCACTGCCACCGCCGGTCCCTCTCCTCCAACCGCCGCCGCCGCTTGTGCCCGGGTGGGGAGGGGGCTCCCTCTCGCCATAGGGCGGCGGGGGCCGGGGAGAGGCGGAGGGGGAGACCGGCTCTGCCCCTGCCCGGGGGATGCGCCTCCGAGGGGAAATGGTGAAAAGGGGGGTGGGGAGGAAAGAGGGGGAAAAAAAAAAAAGGAAAGGAAAAGGGGGGAAAAATAAGAAAAAGCGAGACAGAAGCGTTACCGCGTCCGCTCGCAGGGAAAGCTAGGGAGGGAGGGAACGAAAGGAAGAAGTGCCGGTTGCCTCAGCTCCGCCTTCGCGGACCGATTCCTAGGTTCTCTCTTTGTAAACAACACAAAAGTCGTCTCTCACTCCGCCCCCCTCATTTTCTTCTCTGATGCTTTCCCGGCCCAACGAACGTACAAATAAGTTTAGAAAAAAATCTGGGCTGTTGAAGAGGGGATGGTGAGGTTGTTGGCGATTGGTTGGGAGGAAAGCAGACATTTACTGTGGAGAAAGAAAACCCAAAGGTATAAGGACTCGTTTTCCTTGCAGGAGCGGAAGGGTTCTTCACTGCCGCACAGTGACGTAAGTGATCTCCTCGCTCCCTGGAAGAGGCGTGTGGTGGACAGACAGTGTGCTGCGCATGCGCCCGGGAAAGAAAGAAGCGGAGTAAAGCTCAGCTTGGGGGTTGGGTTCTGTCTGGATGGTACTTTGCCCATTCTAGAGCTGTCTGTAAAGATTTTGCATTCTTTGTTGACCTCGCAAAAAATTACGTATATATTTCTTACCAGTGATGTTTAAGTGGATTTGCCGATTTTTCACTATAACACAACGCTTTAGGAATGGAGAACAGAGGGGAACAGGGGGAATTACATATTTAAGGACCTTCTTGGATATTTAAGGCTTCTCCAGTGGTGTAGTGCTTAAGGCATTTGACTGCTAACTAGAAGGCTGGTTCAAACCCACCAGCCACTCCTTGGAAGGAAGATTGGGCCATCTATCTACTTCGCAGAGATACTGCCTGGGGTACACAAGGAGGGGTTGCAATGAGTCCAATTGGACTGGACGGCAGTGAGTTTTGTTTTGTTTTTTTTGGTTTTGACACGATAAATTATGCGGCTGAGGGGCTGGAACCTGTTTGGTAATGCACCAAGGGAATACTACTTAACAAAAATGTCTCAGTATTTCAGAATGGGTTTTATTACCGTTCCTTAACCAGTGATTAATGACATATAAATGTGTATTATTTACGATTCTTTTGCTCACCTAGGGTAATTTTGTGTTCCTTTAATCTTTTTTAATTATAAGAGGAATTAATTGCATTACAGAAAGTTTTGAAAGAGAAGGAAAAAAAGACTCCCACCATTTACACAAGTAGTCCCATTTATGTTTTCCGTTTCTACCTTTTAAATGCCTGTTTTAACAGTGAAAAAAAAATTGAGCTTATTCAGCAGGCCAGACTTTGTGCTAACTTCCAGCAAATGGAAGTAACCAAGACATAAATCACTCCTGCCCTCATTGAGTTTACAGTGCAAGCAAGAAGGATAACCATTGAGGTAATAATCACTATCTAAAATTACCTAGTATGTTAATTTGTTTACTTTTATATAATCTTTTGGATGGCAGAGATCTCCTCTATATCCTTGATCACTGACTGAATAAATAATTACTAGTATCAAAAGTATTAAGATGGAAAATTACAGGCTACCATGGAAGCACTTAATGGTATCCTAGTAGGGTATCAGAGAAGGCTTGCTTCTCTGAGGTAGTGACATCTAAGATGAGACTTGGTACCATGGGGAAAGAGTGGTACAGGCAGAAGAACAATATACCCAAAAGCTCTGACGCTGAGACATTCCAAAAATCTCCCAAAACCGTTGAGTATATCTGGACCTCAGAATTGAGGGGAGAAGGGGAAGAAGACCAGAGCAGAAGGCAGGTGTCAGATTCCATAGCATGAGTAGCAAAAGGAATGCCCCAGAAGGATTTTACATGGGTTGTATACTTCTTTTCTCATTTCATATAAAATTTTCCATGTTACTGCAGTCTTCATTCTACCTAGCCTACATTTTTTCTGCAGTATACTCCCAAAAGTGTAGTATAATTCCATCGTTATCCTATGAAATTGCATCCGCTTTTTATTCCTATAGTAATAATAATACAAATTCTACTCTTAGGTATATACATAAGAGAAATGAAAGCATGCCCACGCAAAAATTTGTACACAAATATTCATAGCTTTATTCATAATAGCCAAGAAGTGCAAACAACTCATTTTTCCATCAACTGATAAATCTGTAGGTGAAATGTGGTATATTTATGGAAAGGAATATCATTCAGCCATATAAAGCAAGTTCTCCTACAAGCTATAACATTGTGTTATTGTTAGTTGCCATTGAGTCGACGCCAACTCATAGTGACCGTATGTATGTACAACAGAAGGAAAAACTGCTGGATCATATGTCATCCTCAAAATCCTTGCTATACTTGAGCCTATCTTTACAGCCGTTGTGTCAATCCATCTCAATGAGGGCCTTCCTCTTTTTCCTTGACCTTCTACCAAGCATAATATCCTTCTCTAGGGAATGGTCCCTTCTGACAACATGACCAGAACAGATTTGTTCATTCTTCTGGCAGTCCATGGTACTTTCAGTATTCTTTGTCAACACCACAACTCTGAAGCATCAACTGTTCTTAGGTCTTCCTTACCCCTTGTCCAGCTTTCACATGCATATATGGCAGTTGAAAATATTATGGCTTGGTCCTACTTTGGCAAGTAGTGATGGCAACGTTAAAAGCTTGCAAGTGACCATCTAAATGCAACAATGGGTCTCTCCTTGTCCAGAGCAAAGAAGAATGAAGAAAACCAAAGATGCATGGAAACAAGTAGTCCAAGGGACTGTTAGACCATGGGATCCTCAGGCAATATGACTGTGAGACCAGAAGAACTACATCATGCCCAGCTACCACTGTCAACCACTGGGAGGGGGATCTACGTGGGAGCTCCTGGATAGAGTGGAAGAACAATGTGGAACAAAAATCAAAATCATAAAAAAAAAAAAGGACCAGGTTGCTAGTCTGATAAAGCCTGGTGGAACCCCTGAGACTATGGCCCCTAGCTGTCCTTCATGTGTGGAACTGAACCCACTCCTCTGGCTTCCAGCCAAACAAAAGACACGCATATGAGTTAAACATTCACAATAGGTAGATACACTCCTTATACACTTCCATACATTCCACAAAGAATGTTTCAAGATCTCACCTGAAGTACAACGTTGTAAGTGATAGGATAATACCCATATGTCTATGAGGAAGATCAGTTAATATTACTATTATTCAAATTTGTGCACCAACCACCAAACCCAAGATGAGAATATTGAAGATTTTTACCAACTTGTGCCATCTGAATTGACCAATCATGCAATCAAGATGTGTTAATTATCACTGGTGATTGGAATGCAAAAGTTGGAAACAAGAATCACCAGTAGTTGGAAAATATGGCCTCAGTGGTAGAAATGACACTGGAGATCACATGATAGAATTTTGCAAGACCAATGACTTATTAATTGCAAATACCTTTTTTCAACAACACAAATGGTGGTTATACACATGGATTTTGTCAGATGGAGTACACAGGAATCAGATTGGCTATATCTATGGCAAGAGGCAATGGGGAAGCTCAATACCTTTAGCCAAAACAAGGCCAGTAGCTGATTGTAGAAAAGACCATCAACTGCTCATATGCAAGTTCAACTTGAAGCTGAAGAGAATTAAAACAAGTCCACAAGAGCCAAAATATGACCTGGAATATATCCCTCCTGCATTTAGAGACCATCTAAAGAATAGATTTGATGCACTGAACACCAGTGACTGAAAAACAGAGGAATTGTGGAATGACATCAGGAACATCATCCATGAAGATAGCAAAAGGTAATTAAAAAGACAAGAAAGGAAGAAAAGGCCAAAATGGATGTCAGAAAAAAATCTGAAACTTGCCCTTGAACGGAGAGTAGCTAAAGCAGATGGAAGAATTGACATAATAAAAGAGCTGAACAGAAGATTTCAAAGAGCAGCTCGAGAAGAGAAAGCCAATTATAATGAAATGTGCAAAGACCTGGAGTAAGAAAACCAAAAGCAAAGAACACACTCAGCATTTCTCAAGGGGAAGGAACAGAGGAAAAAAATTAAGCCTTGAACTGCAATATTGAAAGATTCCATGGGCAATATGTTGTTGAATGATGCAGGAAACATCAAAAGAAGATGGAAGGAATACACAGAATCATTATAGCAAAAAGAATTTGTTGGTGATCATCCATGTTAGGAGATGGCATATGATCAAGAACCAATGGTATTGAAGGAAAAAGTTGAAGCAGCACTGAGGGAATTGGCAAAAAAAAAAAAAAAAAAGGCTCTGGGAATTGATGGATTACCCATTGAGATGTTTCAACAAACGTTTGCAATGCTAGAGGCACTCACTCAGTTATGCCAATCCATCTCATTGAGGGTCTTTCAAAGAGATTTGGAAGTCAGCTAGCTGGCCAACTGACTGCAAGAAATCCATATTTGTACCCATTCCAAAGAAAGATGATTCCACAGAATGTGGAAATTATTGAACAATATCATTGATATCACACACAAGTAAAATCATACTGAAGATAATTCAAAAACAGTTGCAGCAGTATATTGACAGAGAACTTCCAGGATTGCAAGCTGGATTCAGAAGGGGATGTGGAGCAAAGGATATCATAGCTGCTGTCAGATGGATCTTGACTCAAAGCAAAGAATAACAGAAAGATGTTTCTTGTGTTTTATTGACTATGCAAAGGCATTCGTTTGTGTGGATCATAACAAATTGTGGATAACACTGAGAAGAATG